TCCAGCTCCAGCTCCGAGGGAGTTAAATCCCAGGGAAGGAGCAGCTCCTGGAGCTGCACCCGCAGGCGTTTTGGAAGAGCAACCCAAAAATCCCACGTGCTGGGAGCTGAGGGGAGGGGCCTTTTCCATCTGCTCCTTTTCCCTGCCCACCTCAAATCCTGCCACTGCTGGGGAGGAATCCTCTCCTCTCCTCTCCCCGGGCTTTTCGGGAAGCTCCAGAGCCACTGGAAGAAGTTTGGGATGCCCCTCCCTGCCCTCCTCGCTCCCGGTGGGGGCAGGAGGAGGAGTGAACCCCCAGCTCTCCAGGCTGCCTGAAAAATCCCTGATTTCGTGCTCCAGGCTGCCTGGAAAAATCCCCGATTTGTGCTTTTTCTGGGAAGAAAATCCCTCCTACGTCGCTGCCGAGCTCCCACTGGCTCCCTCTTCCCACGGAACCGCCCGGCCCCGACTCGTAACCAGCCAAATCCTCACACACTTCTCTCCCTCACCTCCACAATGAACCCCTTGATTCCCATTTTTTTTCCCTTTCCCAAAAAAAAAAAAAAAAAAACCCAAACAAAACACAGGGAGGAGAAGAAGAAACCCGACCCAGGTTTGGAGAATCCCAACCCCCCCTCCCTCTCCGAGCCCCAGAGAGAGCCAGAGGAGGGGAAGAAAACAGGTTGTAATTAGACAAAAGTGCATTCCAGTTCTCTCCAAAGTTCTTTTTTTAAATGCCTGAACCCCAGAGATAGGAGGGAGTGGCTGGAGGAGCAGGGAAAAGGGAACGTGGAGCTGGAACTGCCCGGACTCGTTGCTGCAAGTAATTATAGATTTACAGAGCAGCTCCAGACACATCTCCCACCCCCGTTCCCTTGGCTCAGGACGCCTGGAGAAGACATTTCCTTCTCCCTACAAAAGGCACAACACCTGGAGGAATATTTTCCCCTCCTCCCAGCCCTGTTTTTTGGGATTCCTGGTGGCTTTGGGGAGACAAAAAAGCCTCTCGATGGCACCTTCGTGTCGGGCCCCGGCTGCCAAAATCCCGGCTCCGGCCCCTGGGAATTCCTCTGGCCCCACATGGAACCTGTTTTGTTGTTTTGTTTTTTTTTTCCCAGCCCTTGGGCTTTTCAGGTTCAACCTTCCAGCCCCTGCTTTCCCTGCTCTTTTTTTTTCCCTGCTTTTTTTCCCCCCATATTCCAGGGCCTTCCCAACCCGGGGCACCTCCGTGTCGGTGTTTTTTTTGCGGAGGGGAGAGTTTGGGAATTTTGGGTGTCCAGAATTCCAGAGGTTCCGCGTTTTTGTGGACTCCGTGGCCAACAACCTCCCTGTTTTTTCATGGACAACCACCCAGATGGAAAAATCTGGCTTTTAGGGGATTTAACTCCACCAAAAAAGCGTCTTTGCAAATGGGACCCTCTTCCCAAAAAACCAATTCTGGGATAAATCCCTGCTGCTGGCAAGAGGCTCAAAGGCCTTGCAGGGCAAGAAAGGAACAATTATTCTCCATTCCCAACTTTTTTTTCATTCTCCTGCTTCGGTGGGGGGAGCTGGGAAATCCCTGTGACTTTAGTCAAGCTCGGGGAGAGCCGGGAAATCCCTGGGATTTTAGTCCAGAGTTTTCCTCTGGAAGCTCTTGCATTCCCTGGGGAGGTGCAGAGCTCGAGTCGAGACAGAAAGGGGTTAAAAAAGAGGTCTTTTGGGTTTCAAAGGAGCAGAACTGAGCCCAAAAAAGGGGCCTTGGGAGGAGCAAAGCCCTGAACTTTCGGGCCGGGCTCAGCTGGTGGAGAAAGGCCACGTTTATCCGGCCCCATAAACTCCTGTTCAAACACAGGCAGGCTTGGAGCAGCCCCACTTAATCCTCTTATCCCAAGGACACCCTTCCAACCCCTCAGCCCAGCCAAACAAACCCACCCAACCCCCCCAAAAACAACCCAACCCCCCAAAAAAACCCGCCCCAAAAGCAAAGCGAACCCGCCCGCGACGCCCCCGGGGGAGGGACGAGCGCAAACAGGAGCCCGGATTCCTCATCTCCCACAACAACCCCCAGGGAAAGGCAGCCCCAGATAAGGTTTGATCACGGCCCAGACGTCCCCCCAGAGCGGCACGGCTCGTCCCAGGGGCCTTTCCCCCTGGAATTCCACGGCGGGAGCGCCGGGAATTCCGCGCGGCCGGAATTCCGCGCGCCCGACTCACCGTTGGGCCGGATGTTGATGAAAGGGTAGTTGGGCATCACCAGCTTGTTGAAGTTGAACTTGTAGGTGAACCTCTTGCCCTTTGTCTTGTGGAGGATCCTCTTGTTGTAGTAATATCTGGGAAGGGATTGGGAAGAGATGGATCCGAGGCCGCTCCGGATCCCGTTTCTTGGGAGCGGCGCCGACGTCGCCGCCTCCGAGGTCTCGGAGAAAACTGGAGCTGCCCCGAACATTTGGGATCTTTTTGGGCTCTTCTGGGGATCTTTGGGATGCAGAGCCAGGAGCTGGGGCTCCGTGACTCCCGGTGGGACCCTCCCTACTCAGGGTATTCCACAAGTTCTGTTGTCAACACCGGGAAATCTCAGTCCGCCAGGAATTTTCCCAACGACACCAAACCCTTTTCCAGCCCCTTCCTCAGCAGGAGGTTCCAAACCCCTTTTTCCCAGGTTATGACGTCCCCTGGAACACGTGGAATTCCCTTCCAACCTGGGATATTCCGTTTCAGAGGTTGTTACGTCCCTTGGAACGGGCGGGAAAAGCTGGAACGACATCCCATGTTCTCCTCGGCCCAGTCCAAACTGGGACCAGTGCCACGGGCTGGGAGCTCTCCTGGGCATTCCCGGGCACTCCCTCCCCATTCCCACCCATGGGAATGCTGAGAAATGCCATGGAAATGTCTCCAGGAGGAGAAAAATCCAGGAGGATATTCCCTGAGAGAGGGGAACGTGTCCCTGGGACAACACTCGGAGCGACCAGAGCCGGGAAAAACGGGGCCCAAATCCCCCAGATTGGCCTGGGATTTGTTTTGATTCCCGGGATTTTCCCGGCCCAGGGATTGGGAGAGCTGGTTCCTGCTGCTTCGTGCCTTGGAGCGAGTCCCTTCCCCTTCTGATCCCCCCTTTTCTGGGATTAAAACCACTCCCTCCCCTGCCCAGGGCTTGGATCCTCCTTTCCCGGGATATTGGGGGTTGGAAGAGATCCCTGGAGATCCTCCAAGGCAGGTGAGATATTTCCATGGATGGATGGGATCCACCCTCAGATCAGGGGTTTCCAGGGGATATTGGAGAGATTTTTTTGGGATACCAAGATATTCCTACGGATAATGGAGAGATCTGTAGGGATATTCGAGACATTTCCATGGATATCTGAGATATTTCCATGGATATCTGAGATATTCCCATGGATGAATGAGATCCCCCCTGAGATGAGAGATTTGTAGGGATATTGGAGACATTTCCAGGGATATTTGAGAGATTTGTAGGAATCCATGAGATACATCCATGGACTGACGAGATTCCCTCTCAGCTGAGAGGTTTTTAGGGATATTGGAGATATTTCCAGGGATATCTGAGGTACTTCTATGGATTGATGGGATATATCCATGGACTGATGAGATTCCCTCTCAGATGAGAGATTTTTATGGATATTTGAGGTATTTCCAGGGACATCTGAGAGATTTGTAGGAATCCATGAGATACATCCATGGACTGACGAGATTCCCTCTCAGCTGAGAGGTTTTTATGGATATCTGAGGTTTTGGGATGGATTGATGAGTCTCTCCTCACCAGAGATGCTCCAGACCCCAGATCACCTCCATGGATCATTCCTTCCCCGTCCAACACTCCAATCCATGCCTCCCCAGGCCGGGATAGGGGGATCTTTTGTGGGAACAGCATCCAGGGGACACGGATCCCAAGGCAGGGGTGTTTTCCACCCGTTTTTCCTCCCCGTTCCCGGAGGAAACTCCCGTGTTTGCCTTTGGCAGCTCCACCCAGGAGGTATCAGAGGGTGTGGGGCAGCCAAGTCCACGCCAGGGACTGATAATTCCACGACTTCCCAGGGACTGGGACACTCCTGGAGCGTGGAAACACCTCCGAGGGCCGGGCGGGTTCTCCGAGCTCTGATTCCCAAAAGTGCGGAGAAAACTGGGATAAAACCCCCATGGAAGGGGCTGGAAGGGGAGAGGGCTGGAGGTTTGGGAGTTGGGAAGGGCAAGGAGGGGAATGCTCAGCCCTGGTCGTGGAATTATGGGATGGTCTGGGTGGGAAGGGACCCTCAACACCTTCCCAGGGAAGGATTTACTCCCAATATCCCACCTAAACCAGCCCAGGGAATCCTGGAATGCTTTGGCTTGGAAGGGACCCTCAACACCTTCCCAGGGAAGGATTTACTCCCAATATCCCACCTAAACCAGCCCAGGGAATATCCTGGAATGCTTTGGCTTGGAAGGGACCCTCCCAGGGAAGGATTTACTCCCAATATCCCACCTAAACCAGCCCAGGGAATATCCTGGAATGCTTTGGGTTGGAAGGGACCCTCCCAGGGAAGGATTTACTCCCAATATCCCACCTAAACCAGCCCAGGGAATATC